GTACAATTCTAAGTTTAAACAAAAAGGGTTTTGAATATAGCTTTCCCTCATTTGATTCTATTGATACGATGTTCACTCTTTAATTTTACCACTCGGATTCTACCTAGTTTGGATTGTTTAAGCCTTTAGCTCTTCATGAAATAACGACCCGCTTGCTTCTCCAACATGTCTGGTGGTGTTACGTTGCAAAGCGAATCAGGATCTTCAGTAAAGCTGCAACAACCACTATTGCGAAGAACAATTGGCTAGGTGCTAGAAGCGATTGGATTGCACGTGGGAGAGGAGCTTTTGTTGTTACTGAGAACAATGTTGAAAAAGTAGGCGCTGAGAACAGCGATGGAATCTAGCATTCAGCAGGTACAGTAAATTTTTAAATACTCCTAGATTAGGGACCAAGACTGCACTTCTTAATGCATAAGTAGATCGTCAGAGACATCCATCGGTCGAGGAACAACACATTAGCTTGGAACAGCTCAGCTCAGCTATCCAATGAGGCGAGCAAAACTGAAGAGGAGCTGGAGCTGGACGGAGGCGTTGTCTCAGTTCATATTGACAACCTTTTTCGCTGATGAGGAAGTACTCACAGTCGAATTAGTCATGAATGGATAGAGCGACCAAAACTGTATTCCAAACAAGCCAAAGTTCAATATCTCAGACATAACTGGGTCCGGAAACAGTGAAGGTTTTTACGGTGATGAAACCGAAAATCACGTCGCTTTTGACTTTTGTTCCACAAAACATAAAATAGAAGAGAAAAGACCATCTCGATTTCTTTCTCACTCAAATAATTCCTCCAACCAAGGGAAGAAATAGCAACCTCATCGAACGTTTCTGTTGAACCGGCACACGAGAAAATTTGTGCAAAGTTCTTGCCAGCTGAATTGCCCAGAGATAATTGCGTTTGGAAAGTTGCGACCTAGAGTTCCCAATTCAAATCTACTGGTTCACGCTTCACGAAGAGTGGGGAAGACCAGCACCTGCCGCTGACATCATGGTGACGTTAAGGGATTGAAGGAACCGCTTCATAATGCCTGGACGCGGTCGGGGCCGCTCATCAACACGCCGCAGTCAGTGCATTCCCTGGAAGACTTCGCGCTTTTTTCAAACCGGATAGGGGCTACTGGGAAGGACCATATGGTTTTACATTCATTACCCTTCAGTGAACACGTTCTTGTTTCCCACCTATCTTTTTCTAGTTGTACAGATTTCCTATGACCGCTTCATCTTGTTACCGTAATTTCTGGCCACCCTGTACACATCACATGCGAGCAACTACTTTTTGAGATGAAAATCGAGTGCATGGCGCAATCCTATATGGAGCTTTTCCAAAGTATCAAAGCACATTCTTATAGTGTCCGACGAGCTGAATTCAAAGATATCTTCGGATTCTCGAAAGCTCAATTTTGAACCGAGTTATAACGAATTCACGAAATTAACGAGGATTCGCGTTATTCGCGTGAATTTTCGATTTCAAACGGCGAGTACTGTACATGGAAAATGAAAAAGCCTCAACAACTGACAACTGGGTTAAGGGCGGGTTGGTAACCAACTCAACCGCGCAATTTTCGCGACGAAGCTGGAGTGATGTAGGTAATAATTACAGACCTTACAATTGTCCCTAGTGGTATCCCTCCTACTAGTCGGGCCAATCCCGGGGTTTGCCTTTAACCAAGAACCACCAGTACGATAACGAAATAGGAAGCGCGAACCTTACACAATGGGAAGTCATAGTTCAAATGCAATAATCTTGCAATAATGCAAAATAACTACGAACGATTATTGAAGTGACTTGCTTCGTTCGGTGTCCTGAACATGGCTCCGTTGATGATTTTTGCAAAAATAGCGAGGGAAATTTTTAAGATGCGCGAGTTTTCACACTTTTAAAAACCACAAATTTCTCCAAATGCACTGATTTAGAAAAGTTTATATGGCGTTGCAAACTAGAAGATTTGCTCTACAAACGACCCTGAAGCTGATTGATACATTCAGTACGCCAAAAATGGATCCTTGAGGATCCGTCTGCTTCGTTGCGTTCGCGACCATAGTTCCTTTCATGGACGTTTTGAACAAAAGTGAAGGGAGCCTCACAAGCTTTCTGCTCCTAACAGGTGTAGAAGTGTGCTGCAAGGTTCCACTGTACTCAAATGGTTACATGTTTACGAAGTTAAGGCTGAAAATTGAATTTCTTCTTTAGCAATGAATTCCTTTCTTTGGTTCTGGGCAAATCACAAATCAGAAGTGTAAAAATTCACCAAATTAAAAATGTTGTAGAGATCTCAGAATTTCAGTATAGCCTTCTTCAATTTTGCTGGAACAACGGTCACGAAAAACCTGTCAGCGACCACCAGAACTGTAGTTGACAGCGCCCGAATCATCGTCATTTGGGCGGCTGGCATACCACTTTTCGGGCAGAAATTCATCCCATTACAGGTATGCGAACCCGACAAAAGCTACGATGCGGAGCGAGACTCAATTGCGGGCCATTAAGTGGTTTCATTTCAGCTGATCGGTTTCGCACTACTGATTGCCGGCATGTGTGTATATAACGATATCGTTCTCGGTCCATGGTGTCGTCGAAAAATTGTCTCTAAAATGGACACTTCAAAATGTTGTACAAGGTGGGTTCTTCAAAAAATCACTCTATTTCCGGGAAAGAATGGAATTAGACGTGGTCAGCGATTGGCTCTTCTGAGAAGCGCCACACCTTTGAGTTCGCTTCTAAGTTTAAGAGATTCAGCTCTACATAGAAAAATTCCGCTTTCCAGAAGTGTAGGAAACTTGGTTTGAATGGGAGGAACAACAATTCAGAACGTTGCGAGTTATAAGTGACGTGCTCTGCCAGGATATCTTTTCTACTAGATTATCAATGTACAAGCAAGAACAAACAGAACAACTCGAACATCAGACGGAGATTTTTCCAACAGAGGACAGGAAATCGTTACAAGGTTATAA